GCCAAATCACATGATTTAGAGATAAAGTTCTGTTTCTAGGGAGTTTTTAAAAATCTGTTTATTATAGGAGACTTCTATCTACAATATTGGCAAACATGGTAGAAACAAAAGTCCCTCTCATTTTTTTTTAGGATAGGGTCAGAGCAACTCTGAAGTTAGCCATGCTTTGAGCAGAAGGGTGGAGTAGGTGACCTCAATTCTAAATATGTCTATGATTTGTGATACACCACTTACAAGGATATTACCAAATATTACTAACAGAATATATTTTCGTATCTTTGTCCAGTCTCTGGTGCTGAATTTTGGAAATGTCTATGATTAAGATAGAAGAATAAGGAAGCGTAGCTTCTGAGCACTTGCAAGTACAGTATCAGGGGCTCGTGCTAAGTAACCTCGTGCCATAGTTAGTAGCATAGCTCTGAATCGTAGATTGAATAGTATAGCTGGCATTTCCTAGAAAGCACAACTGTAAGTAAAATTGTGCACAACTCCTGCAGGAGGTACAGGTTTTTTCTGCCTGTGCTCCCTTCTGATGTATTCCTTCGCGTACTTTGGCCAATATTATTCAGGACACTGAATATGGGAATATGGATGTCTGCAAAAGAGCGTCCTTATGCTGGTGCTCTACACCTTACACAGTATATATACTCTGGTATATGTTCTAGGACTTTGACAGACTGCAGCACCTTCAGGAACGGTGTCTGTTACACCAAGATTTAAAAAAAAAAAAGAAAACCCATCAAATTCTGTTTCTTAATTTCTTATATTGGCTTACAGTGGCAGAAAATATTCTTTCCAAAATCCAAACAGTTTGCATCTTTCTAGGTTATAAAGACTTGGAAGCTAATTTTAATATAGCTTAGGGTAAAAATAAGCAAGTAGAAATAAGACACCTGCGGCAGCCACCCACCCATTCAATTTTGAGCAAAATTTGGGAGACTGCCCGTGAGGCCACTTTAAAGGATTCTGTTACATTTGTTCTCTTTTACTGCATTCATCATCATGATATGAGCTTTTGTTTAGCTTCCCAGAGGTTTGGTTTTCCAAGAATGAATCACGAAAAATAATATTCTTTGGAGTCAGAAACATGAACAATGCTTAAGTATCTGTTCCTTCTAGATTAAAACTACAGGCGTATTAATTTGAAAAGGGAAAGATTACAAGTCTGTCTTCTATTTCAGAAGTTTAATGAACCTTAATTTGATGTCTTATTAGCAAGAATTGGTGAGACAGTTAAAAAGCTGTGTGTTGCAATGATGTGTTAATAAAATTCTTGTTTCTACAGATAGTTTCTGGCATGGTGATGCCTGGAAGCTGAGTATTCCAATTGAGATGAAAAGAATAGACACTAAATGAATAGCTAAGATATTGTTATACAGAATAGTAACTTGGCCTTCCTCCTGATCAACCTGACAACCCTTCCTTCTAGCTAAGTGATTCTTTAGTTCATTGCTTCCTAGTAGGAGTTTAGAGATAGCTCTTTGGACTAAAGGAGAGACAAGAAGAACCACCAAGTTGTTCTAGAGAAGAAAATTTCTTCCAGGGAACGACTTTTAGAAAACCACGTGCTTACAGCCCCCATCTAAGAAAACCATAGAGACCTTGTAGCTTCACAGAAAACAGAGGAAGTATTGTGTTGGAATAATATTACACCTTCAATATTTTGTCCTTCCTGTCTTCAGACAAATCGGTCTGGATTTTCTTCCTGGGGATGCAGAAGGTATCCCTCAACTGCATAGTGAGAAGGCACAATTGGACATCCTTCAAAATTCCCCTGGGAATAGCATTTGCAGCAGTGTGGAAAGATGAACGGTACACTAAATGTGTATACTTTTCTTAATGTTGGGGAAATAATAGTAGTATTGGCTTCAGCTTGTTCAAATGACTAGAAATCTCTAGGGTGGCTATACAAACAGGAAGACACTGATGCACAAACTAGCACTGGGGAACCGAACCAAATCTATAAAATGGACCCAAATTTAGCACCCAAAGCTATAAAATGTGAGAAGCTGTACTTAAACTGCAATTTCTTGCTTTTTATTACATTGAGACTTACTTGGTCAAAGGAGCATGCACATCCCACGAGGGAGACATCTGCAAGAAGCTAACAGTAATAAAGATCTGTGTACTTCTTTATTTCTTAACAAGGTTTATGTATGCAGAAATTAAGTGTCTAGAACTATACTTCAGTGTCACCAAACATCCTTTAATTTTATTACAGGAGATCCCTCTGAAGTTAATTTCTGTCTAAAGTGCTGAGGATATGAAGGATACTTTAGCAGAATTCTACCCTAACTCACATCACTTGGAAGCTGGCTGAAATCTGTCTATGCCTTCCTACTGGTGGTTACACTGCTTCAATGTTCCAACTGCAGAATCAGGAAGAACATATCTGCATACATTATTTCCTACATTAGGAAATTTGTATGCTTCTTCTCAGATCATATCTGCAGAATTAAAGTGTAATACAGAAACATTTAGTTTTATAGTAGGTGTACCATCATGATGAAAACATGAGAGCGTAGGTTTCAGTATGGGACTGCGGTTGGAGTGTAACCCTAGTATTTACGGGCTGATTGTCCTGCTCAGCTACTGGTTCTTGATTGCAGCATGTACGTGCTAGCTTTAATAGCACAATTCTTTTCCCATGTTGAAAGTACACAAAAGGCGAAAATTTTTCCTATATTGGTGCAGACGGTCTTGTGGTGTTCATTGTATCATAGAATTATAGTGCAATAACTGTTAAAATTATAGTGTAGTAACTGTTTATGTAAGCTGGCTTTTTATTAGGAAATGATGATAAGTTTTACAGATGTTGTTGGATGTGAACTTTGCAAACAATCTACATTTCAATGTCTTATCCAGATTCTAAATATTCTTGCTGATGAGCATTACTATCTTCCAAACAATTCAGCTGATTCTGTAGAACAGCAAGAATTACCACGCTTCTATCCACTCTTTCTTTAATTGCAACATCTATTACGTACACTACTTAAAATGCTTTCTAAACCCAGTTCCTGATGTATCCTGCAGTTCTCAGAATTCTCTTTGTTTAAAAGTACGGCTGTATCTGGCACGGAAGATCAGGGGATTTCTTCAGAAGCAGGAAGTGGGGTGCTCTGTTGGTCCATGATATAATTTACACTGGCTATTTCATTTTCAAAAAAACTGTTCCCCCTTCCCCTCTTGCCCAACAGACCTCCCAGGCCTGATGCAGGAATTAGGTTGTAGACCCGACTTCAGTGGAAACAGTCGAGTTCAGTGAATGAAAATGAAGTGCATTTAGTCTGGCAGGAATTTGCTAACTGAGGAATGCCACAGAAGTGACAACTGTTAAAATAAAGGAGACATCCTTCACTTCCACTAGAAGCAGGAAAGGGCCAACTATTTTTGTACAGAAACAGCAGGATGAAAAGAAATCAGGGAATAAAAGAGATCGGTAGGAGAGACTAAGTAGCGTGGATTGATGCCAGTCATTTCTCAGACCAGCTTTAGTTACCGTGTATAAGAAACACCATTGTTTTATGTCTGAAACCTCTAGTTCTTACAAGAATATACTCTAGTTTTGTATCTTTTTGCACATAAACTTTCAGTTTTTAATTATTACCTTATAAGGTAAGATAACTAAGATCTTAGGTCTTAAAATAATCTACATTATTTCATAGTTTAATTTGTGGGGTCAAAATTTCTTGGGTTAAAGTCAACCAAATCAGCATGAACTATCTCAAATGTAATGAATTAAGATCAATGAGTGTGTGTGGAAAATGCTGAGACCCGTCCTCTGAGGGGCTATGGAACTGCAGAGCATCCCGCAAAGCTTTACATGGCACACGGGAGGTCGCCGAAGCCCAGTTGCTGGAGAGGAGCTTACTTGGGAGCAGCAATCAAGAGGGAGGGGAAAGACCGCACTGTATGAAGGAGCAACAGAGGAGGCTTAGTACGGAATCCTAAATTTTATGCTACAGTTAGTTTTGATACAGTAAGACACAGTACGTTCTGATTTGGCCAGGCAGACTAAGGAAACAGGACTTCTTGACATCTTCCTCAGCATCGCAGGAGGATTAATTCTGTTTTGCTGAAGGTTTAATGCTGCAAGCTGCTTAGTCCTTTAAAGTGCTATTGATTGGTTTGGGAATTATTAGCAATTGCAATGGTGTTAAACAAATTTGTGAAAAGTGAAGAAAATACATAGAGCTGTGACAAGACAAAGATTTTTACTTCTACAAAGCTCTTCTGTTATAAATGGACACAAATAACTAGAGAGGATCAATCCATAATCTCCAGATTACTCCCACAGTTTAGAAAACATACTCTTGCTTTAGCAAGCGTCAACCTCTTTTACAGTGGGGAGATTCGGAAGATCCTTGCCTATCTCCTGAATAAAAATCGAAGAACATGGAAGATGCTGAAGAAATCCTGAATTGCGTGATAGGCAAGTGAGGATATCTTGGTTTATGGCTACAGAAAGTTACATTTATCCATAATAAATTTAAGGTAAATGAGAAGCTTACACTTTTCAAAATTATCTACAGCAAAAATGTCTAATTCATGAAGAATCAGATCTTAAAGGTAACATTTAGGCTAGAAAAAAGTAAAGTTATTTCCACTTCATTCTTAATTTCCCTTTCCATGTAAAGGTATAATTTTGCTGGGGTTCCCTTGGGATAGTGCTATCTATAAACCTTCCAGGAAAAACTAGTAAGCCTGCTCAGGAAAGAAATCATAAGGGTTGGGAAAATGTGACATCCACATTTGGTTTTGTTCTGTAGTTTGTGTACATTTCCTCAAACACTGGAAGACATTACCATATATCTGGTTACTTTTCCCAGCAAGTGTTGCCACTAGCTTGGACATGTGGCTTTGTATTACGATTTAAACATTGCTCAAAAATACACAGCCTTTCCTGAAACGGAAATAAGCCAACACGTAACTATCACAAATGTTCTTTACTTGGGTGTTTGCAACATAAAACATATATTGAAAAGAGTGGGATTGCTTACCTCAAAAATATAATCTTTTCCATCCTTTCCATGTACAGCCTTAACAGCACAGATGTCCAAACCACCAAATATTTCAGAACAGGTGTCAACCCAAAGCTTGTACCTGTTTCATAAAAATAATTTTTTCTGTGAGTATCTCCTCAGGCTTTTGTTGTTCTATAGGCTAAACCTAATAATGTATTAATATGATGTTTCCTCCAAAGTCAGAATTTCCACTATGTAGTCAGTTCTACTGAATTTGCATTTCTCAGAATAGTGGCTTAGAGATACTGGCCCGATTACTCTACTTTTCCCAGCAGAATCCAGAAAAGTTGTGGCTCTGTGTCCTGAACTAGTATTATGCTGGAGTCTGTCCCAGTTTATACTGGTCCAAACATGCGTCTGAACTGTGAGTAACCTGAAGATAAGATATGCTGAAGCACAAACAGCGTTTAGCTACATCCCATCCTGCATTTCCAGGGCCCTTACGCCAGTACAGTTTGCTAGTTGTGGCTCTACTTTATGGCAGAACTCCACGGACAGGGGATTTATCATCTGACCAGTTTTTGTGGCTTTGGTGATGCCATGAGGTTTTACAAAGTAGGGAACAGGGCTTCTGTTTTCCTGTGAAATTCAAACTTGCTCATCTGCGCACAGATTCTTGTCTATTATGATTGGCAGTGTACTTAATTATGGATGGGCTTTATTCTTTTACCAGGAAAACTAGAGTGAGAGTCTCCCTCTTAAATTACAGACCCGACTGTATTCCAAAGTAGCAATGGTATCTTTATACGTACATCGCTTAACAAGGCAAAAGAAAAATCAAGACAAAACAACCCTTAAGATGATGCAAGAGAAACGGATGTATGACACTACGTAAAAGTTACGTAGCATGCTGACAAGGGTAATATTCTTTGTGTAGCGTTATAGACAACTACAGTAGAATCAACAGAAAGGTAAAGAATTCTGAGGCATTCTACAAGTCCTAAAAAAAGCTAGTGCTTCATACGGTGTTGAACATAAGAACTCCTCCATTTCATTTCTAACCTCATGGTAAGAAATGTGGACCGAGGAATGAACAGTTTACCCATTCTACAGGCAGTAATACGATTTATTTTTCTTGCATGAAGAGCTTTATCCATCCTATGAACAGAGAGATTTTCTGACTAACAAGGGAATGAAGTGGGACTTACTAGAAAAAGAGTGAGGCAATTCCTGTGATCAAGCACGGAACTGTTAGTGACATAACGGGGAGCCATAATACTTTGCTGAGAGCGTGCTGAGGTGATGTAAGATGTGTGTTTGCTCAGTGGCAAGGATTGACTCGCAGGACACAAAATGGCATTGAGAACTTTCATTAACTAATAGCATAGCTGTGCATGGGCACCAGGAGGTGATGATACGATCTTGACAGGTTATACAGGCAGATATCACGGTCCCACCGATTGAAGGACATGTTTTGCTTTAAAAAACCCCCAAAGTTTTAAAGCAGCCATTTATCACAAGCTTTTTTCTCTTTCATTGGCTAGCGTTTCAGTATAAATGAGAGCTATTTCCTTTTACAGACACTCTCCTGATCCAGCCTTTGAGCCATGATGATAGATTTGCCACATCATAGTATTTTCCATTGCAAAAAACCGGATGTAATAAACATAGCATTTCGCTTCACTGTGGGATCAAAGGAAACTCATTGCTGGGCTGAGAGTCTTATTCATATATAAATATCTTCAGTAATAGCATCCTTTCCAAGTAAACTTATTAGGTCACATTCTTCGTATTTTCTTACATCAAGTTTGTTCCAGTGGAAAAGTTTTTCTTTTAAGCAGAATACAAAGAATTGATACAACTGTTTGAAAAAATCCTGATGCCAATATTTTAGCAACAAAAACAATTTTTTTCCTGTGAGAAACATGTTTTTTGTCCAAAATGAGAGGTTTTTTTGGATGCCTGACAATTTCGACATCTGTAGATGCACTGGCTGACTGGCCTGCTTGCATGCACTTGCTTACGAATAACTTTTTTTTTGCGGTAAAATACCAACATGTATCTTAGACAGTCACAAGGACAGCAAAACTTCTCTTACAGTAAATATCTGGACTTTATATGAAAAAAAAAGAAAGAAGACATTTTCTTTAAAATACCAAAACATCAATCAGATCCATGAAAGTATTTTTAATAGTCTATCTGCTGCCAACAAACACAGAGCTGGAAAAATACAGTTACATTTGGAAAGAGAGGTCTTGGACGGACTAGCCTGTAGCGTTTTAAACCCAAGGTTTGCACAGTAGGTTTGTCAAGAGGTCACGGTTCTTATTTCCAAGAGCCAATATAGTGTGCAGCAGCCTCAGAACTGACAGGCTGAATACAGCCTTGTTCCTCAGGTGTCTGACATGAAGTAGCTGGTGTGCCAGAGGAGGGGTGCACAATTAGCACGGGTCTCTCTTCTTCCGGTCCTGTCTGGGGAGCGGTGCCTCTCTGAGACAGAGGGCTCAACAAGAACGTGGAACATGGAAACGCGCTTGTTCTCCGCCTCGGCATTGTCCCTTCCTCTGCCACCTTCTTCCTTCTCTTCTGAATTTCTAGACCAAGATTTGTATTCAGTCAACAATGTCAGTTCAGGCACTGCTTTCAGAACACTTCTTCCTAATTCATGAGATGTATTAGAAATGAAATGCACGTGCATCAGATTCGATTCTTTTGCTATGCCCTTAAACTACTTCAGCTCCTCAGAAAACTTCAGTTTTCCTTTCTCTTCCTTGCTCTGCTTTGTTCACTTCAGTGGGCAATCAACCAACCGGTGTGGCTGTGTGCTACATACCTCTTTCTGTTCTGAGAAAACATCCATCTTCTCTATGCTCTTCTCTTCATCAGCATAAAAGAGGTTTTGTTTGGTTGGCTAGTGTTTTTTTAATGGGAAAATACCTGTTATGTTGTAATTATCTTAGATTCAAAAGTGGAAGCAGAAGCAAAGCACATAGAGCATTTACAGGGAGGTAGCGAGGCACGGTTAGCATTTCATACTCATTACCCATACTTGGTATTGTTTAGTTTTCCTTACGGCAAAACTAAAGTGCCTGTGTTTCTCCAGACTGTAATTAGACACACTAAAGCACGCTCTTTCTTTTCCCGCTCAGTGAAGGCATAACCTCACTTTCAAAAGGAAGGTGGGAGGGGAGTGAGAAAGAGAAAATAATGTGGCTCCACTCCATCCCCAGAGGGGAGATCAGTGAGGACACAGTCTAGACAGGGGTTGGACAGCAGGGAGCTGTAATTCCCGTCTTACTTGTTTCCACCTTTCTCAGGGCAGGCAATGGTTCAGTTCTTGTGCCTCCTTCAGCTCGTAAGAGGGAACAAGTTGTAGGTTCCAGACTTTAAAAAAAAAAACCCCACAACCAAACACCAGAAAAAGACTACTGCTCAACTTTAAAACACCTTTTAGATTACTCTTTCATTGTACAGAGTTTTTTTCAGCTTCCACTGGTAGCAACCTTTAGAGAAGCTGAACAAAAGAAAATTCATAGCCATCAAAAAGCCTCAGGGGTTTATTTTGCAGGGAAAAGAGGTCTATATGTTGTGGAGGAACTTGGAGCAAATGAGCAGTATTGAGAGAAGAGTTCTGTCATTAGAAGACCTGAGCTTCAAAATGGTACTGTGAGGAGGATGTGTTTGACTGCATTGCAAAAAGTATCTGGTGTAAGGATGGGAGAGAAAAAGAAAAGCCCAGTAAACCAAAGTACAGAGCTGGAATGATGACGAGGGAAATAAGCTTCAGTATATCCCAGCACGGGGGTAAAAAGCCTCACAGTAGAGTTTAGTGGCAATTTCAAAAATGCAAAATAAGCAATTTAGTAGGACTGAAAGTAGAAAAGAGAAATATGATTTAGATAGGCAAAGTTAAGACTAGATTGCTTGGTTATAATAGATGATGTAGAAGGAGGGAAGTTTAAAACACTGTGGCATGGGGTAAGACTGTTAGGTAAAAGAGGACAAACGAACCACAGGAGATGACTGATACGTTGAATCTGAAAAATGGAATTTTCTGAAGGGAATTCCATTAGTTTTCTAGGTGCAGATAGGTATGTAGGAACACAAGGGTGCACGTAAGCACCTAAGGCTGGTACTTAGTTTGGGTGTTACTTAGTTTGGGTAGTAAACTCTGAGACAAGCCATAGGGAAACTCTTGGCTCATATTCTTTCATCTAATTCAAAGGGTTTTTTCCAAAAGGAATGGGAGACATGTGGTTACTGTGGATTGCACATCAACAATGTGATTTTTAAAAAATTCATTGAAAATAAAATTCCATTAATTTTTTAATTACCTTTTACATGAGACTTGACTTACTTATCTGACATAGCAATTTGTTCCAACATTGCAGAGCCCGTGTTTGTCTTCCAGTTTCCAGATATGGAAGTTCTCCTGAAAGGGGGAAGATATTACAAAGACAGCCAGTGATTTTATATTTTCACTCTTAAATTACTCTGATTTTCAAATGAATACTATATCAGTATTTACACCTTTTTCATATCTGGCAGGTTATAACAGAACATCTACACCGCAAAGAATTCTAACAGGCATCGCAATTGTCAGTAACACGCATTTCACTGTAGGCGTCTTATGAAGTATGACAATGCTGTGAAATCTGTGTTCCCCATTTATTCATTTAAGATCTTTTTTAAAAAAAACCCTACTACAACTAAGTGAAAGTGTTAGCAATAAGCTTTTATCAATTATAAATGGACTGAATAGCTTGTAACATACTATTACTGCACATGCCAAGAAACTGAAGCTTCAGCTTCTCGTTTCAAATCCATACCACTACAGAGTTAGGTCCCAATACTTGAAAATCAAGATATCTGTCTTTTTACCATCTCCAAAGTGATCTCAGATCTGTTTTAGAGCTGGCTTTTGGATTATCCTCCAGTTTTCACTCTTTGCTAGCTTATTAATATCATCTAAACAGTTTATGTCAAGGCTTGAGTATACCATCTTTTATTTAATCTCTAAGAAAATAAAATCATACAAAGGTTTTTTTTTTTTTTCTCAGACCTCAGGACTGAGAAGATTACTGTTTTCTGAAACCTAAATGCTGTACTGGGAATAGGCTAAGGATACAAATTATGAAGTGTTTCCAGTTAGTAAAATAATAGGAACATCTGTAATGTATTAAAAGTATATTAGGCAGCAGCTACAGTTTTCTCTCCATTTTTCTATTAACCTAATTACGAGGGTCAGTAGCAATTGTGAGGGAATGTTGACTTTTCTATGGGAGCCTCATGAAGTTAGCTGAATTTTAGAGCATAAAGTTCTTGTAAGGTGCCATATTCTTTGTGATGTGGGAGAAACTAGTGAGAGGGGAGGGCACATGTTGAGTGCTGTGTGTAAGGTAACTTTGCCCAGTAATAAGGCTATTTCGTGATTTCTACTTCATTTTTCAAGTGGTATTTATTTATATGTCTGTACTTACAAATTAAAAATTTTAAGTTCGTTACCACTCTACGCACATATTCTGCATCAGAGAGCTAATTCTTCTTGCAAATAACAAACTCTATTGCAGACTTGTCAAAGGCATTCACTAGCACGTACTATTTCAGGTGTCTTTTAGGAAGCAAGATGTGACCAAATCAGAAATGTCCTGAAGACTTTTAGCAAGTATTTAGTTTGAGATCCTCAGCTGCACTGATGTAATCTCAGCACTACTGACTAGAGGAGGAAGGATGGTTTGCTTCAAGCCACGCTTTCACTCCCCAAGGTGAAAGGTCCTCGGCCGAACCTGAAGCAGTCTCATGACTGGATGCTGGGCTGGCTGTAACGATGCTGTAGGGACCAGATGAGGACTGAGAGGACTGCTCCGGGCACAGACCTAACTGGTGTGATCTCAGTAGCTGGCAGGCTGGAGCCATCGATGCTAGGTCTGTGACACACAACTCCATAACAACAGGGCTGTTCCATCAGGCCACCCTTAAGCGATACGAAAGTACCTGACCAGACCACCTGGCACTTCAACCCCTAGATATGATTTCTGTATTTCATGTATGATTGCCTTTACTGAAGTAGTTAGGTTTCCCACCCCTCTTGACTTATGTTCTGATAATTGCTAAGGGTCTTTCACGTCATTATTTCCTCCTCTTTTACGAAATACTGAATAATATAGAAAAGAACTCCTAATACTTTTGAGTGCTTTGCACTTAGGCTTAACGTGTTTTCACTTGATTTGGTCTTTGCAAAGAAGGAAGAATTGTTTTAAAAGAGGGGAAAAAGGAATTACGATTAGTATAAACAATTCATAGTAACGTGAGCTTCCCCTTTTCAAACACGTTTCTGCTTTATTTAGTACCACTTAAAGTACGCAATCCAAATTGTCTGGACAGGGACTTGTAATCAGAAAAATATGTAGAAATGTCTCCCTACAATTCTTGTGCAGGCAGCCTGCTTAGTGGTTTGATTCTATGGCACTGTCTGGTTGATGCGCTCTACTTTTGTTTTATTGACCTTTTGATCAAAGTACATTAAGTTATGGATTCAGAGTATTGCTTTTGGAGAGGAGATTTAAATTTAGTGTTTTCGTATTTCTGTTTTTCTTCATTGTGTGTGACCCTTTTAACTCCATTTCCTTGAAGTCAGATGAATTCTGTAATGGTACCAAGTGCAGTTAAGTATGTGTCACAAAGCGTTTTGAGGAGCTGTGGTATTTAGAGGGATCCAATGTTGCATTTTGGCTATAATCTCTACTGACAGATGATAAGCACCAGCGTTTTGTGAGTCATGGATCCACTTATACCACAATTTCCCACAGAATTATAAAACTGAAGCTCTTAATAACTCTCTTTAAACTACAAAAACAAATGTTCAGCTGGTATTTTTTGTGGTGGCTCTCTAAGTACTCTGTTCCTGTGTCACAGAACCAAATGAGAACCAGCTGTAAAACAATATTCTACTGACATAATGTATATGTATGCATATGAAGAATTTTTCAGACATTTGGTAAATCTTCTTTTCATGATGGATCGGTAACAATGGATCGGTATTTCATTTTTTGGTGTGATTTAACTGTATGAAAGAACCTAGAGAAAAAAATGATTGCTAGGCTTTTAGCATTTGGATGAACCCATAGTTTCTGAGTAGAAACTTAAAAATAAATAAAAGGTAGGAGGAACAGGCTGTCATTTTAACTTATTTTTGCTGTCCCTTAGGCCAACTGCTCCTTCTGTGAAGAAGAAACATTTATGTTTGAAAATGATAAATTTACCATGGCTGACTCTTCCAAAATTATTCTGGAGTCTGAGCAGCATTTAAATTTCAAGTCAAAGAAACAACTGTAGGGCGCTCTCCTATGAAATGCAGTGGTCCAATTTCTACCATAGGGAACGAACCATCAAGTTACTAAAATTGCGTCTGACTGCTGGTGTCTGGCGGTGTGTCATAACCATTAAGAGTTGGGCCTTATTGCTAAGACTTTTGTCACCTGGGAGCTCTAAGATAGAGACAAATCAACTCCGTTTATTATAAACAACAGAGGAGGGGAGAGATGGGTAGCACAACACAAGAAATCTGCCTGTCAAAGCACCAACAAGAGAGAAAAGTACTGTCCTATGCATCTAACTATCCTTACAGGGAGAGGAAAATTTGACCCTAAGTTGGTGGAAAGATACAAAGGAATCTGATTTAACAAGTCCTCTATAAAAAAAAAATCCCCTTCCAACTGCTCCTTTCTTTAAATGAAAAAATAAACAAAGCTTAGCAGGAAAACCACTCTTATTCTCCTCCTCCCAGGCACAATCAACTTAAAAAAAGTCTAGAAAGTCTAAACCACTGTCTTTCCAGAGAGTATGACAATGAAGCATGGAGTCACCACATCAGCTCAGAGACTCATCCAGCAGTCTTAATCTTATTGGTGCTTATCAATTTTGCAACAAAAGGTTGAAAGAATATAAGTTTTTGGCTCACATGTATGCTTTGTAGTTACTGCCTATCTTTTGGATCCTGATGTCATATTTGGAGTCTATGAAGGGTTCAGTAGTGGCGTAGGTCTGAGTAAGTGCTACCACGCTGGCTATGTCCTGAAAATCGTAGTGGTTGTCTACCTTGATCTGTAGTCACCATACCACAAGTAAACAGCATATACAAAAGAGAAAAGAGCAATTAGGAACAAAATGTAGAATTCAGTTGCAAATGGCATTCATGAGAAGCATCGGTTTTCACAGTGTCAGTTTATTAAAAAAAGTATTGGTTCTTTTATCTGATTCCCAGATTCTATAACATTCCTCCATTAAAGTATCCATTTTCTAGGCAAAATATTACCTATATTACCTGTTCATTTGTAGGAAGCAATTTGCAGACAGTGGAATTTTATTTTGCTTTTCAATTGGCAATTGTTAATTTTAGATCTGCAGGTTGTAGAATATTTCACGGTGTGATAATATGCAACACTAATTTCTACAGAATTCTTGTTGATTCGGTAAATTGCTCATGTAGCTGAATGTATATGGAGCCCACCATGTACTATCACATCATGTATCTCCCGGGAGGGAAGAGACGAAGGGGTCACGACATCCTGATGAGTGGAGCACATGGAGCACAGAAGGTTGGCTCACGACAGCAGAACCAGTTTCTCTCAGTTTTCCCACTTCTCTGCAAGGAGTCAGGCTTTCTAGGAGGGGGATTTCCTAGTTGTGGAACACTGTGCTAAGGCTGGTACTAAACCCATCAACTTCAACATCTTGAAATAAGAAGGAGGTGGAGAAGTGGAGAATATTGATTTAGGGGTAGAGGGAGAAGGAAACTTTAGAGGGCAGGTGGAGGACAGAGACATTACTTTTGGACAGGGAGAGCACATCTCTACGGTTGACTTCAAGGAAGCTGGCTCAGGTGGGGAGAAAAAGTGACTCGGAAGAGAAGTCTTAGGGCTGGTAGAAAATGGGAGAGGGAAAGCAGAACTGCAAGAACACACTGACCCAAAGTGCATTTCAGAAAGGTCAGGAAAGGAGGCAGGGATTAGTACTTCTCATGTTATCTAATATTAGGACAGTCTGCAACTCTTTGCAAGCCCAGTGTCTTGTTTGCTTGCACTGTGCCCTGGTACTTAGAAGGGAACCTGTGGGCCAGAGTGCCACAGCTGTGAGATGGGACCTGCGCATTAACTGCGGTCTGGGGGGCGAAAAGAAGTCTTAAGGCCTGAGTATTTGCTCTCAGCTGGAGAACGGAGAACAGGGAGTAATTTGCCATTTGAGAGCTGCAAAACCAGACACAATGCTGGTTTCAACTTAGTTTCTGAAAACTTAATAGCATATGCGAGTCTAATTACGAGCAATGGAAACAGTACTGCTAGCAATGCCTTTAGGGAGGACCAGGGTACGAGGAGAAGCTTTGCTTGGACTCTGACAGTAGGCATTGCACTACAAAAGGCTGGCATTTAATCTTTAAGGATTTAAAATATTTTATAGCTTAAAAAAATTCTAGATTTATTTCTAGGCATTTGATATGTTGAACATTTCTGTGCATTATTTCCCTTTTCTATGAATGGGAGGTGATCTAGAAAGTTCAGTATAAACATTCTAATACTTCACATATGAAATCCACAGAAACTGCAGTTTAAGCAGTTGGTGGTTAATTCTGCTCTCAATTAAATTGGCTGCTGGATCTCCACTGACTTACTAAGTACAAAATAAAGCAAAACAGTAATAGGCAAAAGAACGTACATACAGTACAACTTGCATAATTACTGAATAAAACACAATTAAATCAGTTTTGTAGTTCTATTGCTATATTATTGCAAATATTATGTTCATGGAGCTTTTGGAGGCTCAAGATGATAAATGTAACTATTCTCTGATGATTTTGAAATCTAAAACACTTAAAGCACTGAAGTGTTTTCACCGAGAAAGTGGTTAATCTGTAATGGCTAGAAATTTGCACTGATATCAATGAAAGCGGGATTTAAATCATATCCCATTGAACCATCGTTGTGAGATAAGTGATAGCAAAACAGCTGTACTCACCACTGAAATGCAATTACTTTGGAGAAAGAAAGCAGCAGTTATATAGTGGTACAAAACAGTCACAGAGAATACATTAAAACAGGAAATGAAGAGAAGTTCAGTATCAAGCTGAAACTAATAAAGAACCAAGGCAAACCCTTCCTATATTCCCAGGTCCAAAAAGATGGACCGTGCAAACAGACCTTGACTCTTAAATAGTTTCACTGCAGTCAACTAAATTAATAAATAAGGTTCTGCTTCAGGAAAGCATCTTGGCACGTTTCAAAGAATGTCCTATACGGGACAATGCATGAACTGAGAAGGCATCAATGTGAAAAAATATTAGGCATTTTAGTATTTTCCGAAAGAGAGGTGCTTTCTTGAATAATACACAAGCAGAGATTTGCAAGGGTAGGGATCTCAGACAGAATTTGGACAACGAAAAGTTAAAATACCCAGGAAACAAAGAACATGCGTATTATTTTAGACAAACACCCGGCCTCCTAACATGCAATAAGTAGCATCTGCACCTTGCCCATGCCTGAATGAGCATGTCCAATCTTCACGACGACAGGAAATGTTGGCATTGTTAGCTACAGGGGAAAACAAAAAAGACATATTAGAGAGAGTAACCATGAATCAAATGATTAAGCTACATCATTCATGGAAATTATTTGAAGATGACCATAATGCAGCCAAAGCTGTTGTTGCCATGGGCGTCTTCGAACATGGCATTCATCTGTGTAAGACTCTGTGTTCTGGTGAACGACTGCATCTGTTTTCTCAGTGCTATGGTACTCCCAATACATACAATTGGTGTACTTCTCTCTTAACTTTTTTGTACGCCTTTCTTTTGACTTCACTTTTTAAAATGAATTTTGGCCATTTCCTATTTTACGTTTTGCTAATGTGTTTTCTGACCCATAAACTCAACTCTCCAAGGTTATAATCATTAATGATGTCGAATTAATCACCTTTTTCCTTTTCCCCTTGATTTCCTTTATTTAGCAAGGCTGTAAATTCTTTTTGGGACCACTTATGAAAGCAATGATTTCTAATTCACCAAAAAACCTTTCTTTAAAGGCAGATCCTAGCTTCTGTTACAGAATACCCAAGTTCTCTAGGGAAGGCTACAGCTTCTGCATAGAAAATAATAATTCAGCCACTGATTAGGAAATCAAATTTGCAAAGGCATATGAATATGTTTTATTCAATCAAATGATAATGGTTCCGTCTCTCAGAAAGTTCTGTGAATAACCAATTTTTTTCCATCGTTCATCTGAAGAAGTTTTACATCTCCCAGTCGTGGGTACAGCTGTCACTTCTTTTTCTTCCACCTAAAATGTACATATATCGAACCTCTATCAACCAAGCATAAATACAAATACTGAGTAGAACAGGATTATAATTAGAAATAAAAACCTGAACACCCTCCACATGTAATTAAACTGGGCAGCAGTAGGACAGTAGGCGTTATGGGGTCTGAAACCTGCATTTAGTACCAAATTTTAACAGAGTAAATACAATCAAGGGCAAAGCTGATGCTTTAGAAAAATAAACTAAGAATTATTAGAGATTTTATGAGAAATTTATTTTCCAAATACTTACAAAGCACTGTCAAGAGGTTAAATGGAGTTCACACTTATCTCACTGTGCTTTGCTCAACATTGCACAGGAACACACAAGCACAAACAGATATTTACATGGAAGATGTCATGGGATTGTAAATATTGACCGTAAGATCAAGAGAGAAAGAATAGGAAGGTCACTTGGCTTTTGGTAATATCCAAATCTATTTGCAGGGCTATAAAGCTAATTAGAACTCACACATGCTTTTCGTATATTTTAAACATTTATTTTCAATATGATTTAAGGATGCCTGCTTTAAAAATACTTTAACTGAAAGGCAAATCTGCACGAGAACAAGTGGGCATTCACTGCAAGGCACATTATTACTTACCATCAGATTTCCAGTACAATACATGAATCTCTTTCCTCTTTTTTTTTTTTTTAATGGACTTTCTCTGGCTTTCCTAAAATGCATCCCAATGCAATATTGTTTTGTTCTGACTTCTTTTTTTAAAACATATAAAGGATATCTAAGCAAAGAAAAGCAAGTTGTTTCTTTTTTGATGGAATCTCAGTTTCTGCTCTGCCTGATTAGAAGAAAAAGGAGGAATCTTTGGACCTACTCTTTTAACATACCCGAGTTTTCAAAGCCTGATAAAACCAGAGGCTCCCACAGTTGTGAGCTACACAGCACAGGCCGTGGAGGTTTGTCACTGATTTCTGCATCAAACCCAAAGCTAGGGCTAGTATGTTTTTTCAGGAGAAAACCAGATTTCACTTAAAGACTTGCAGTTATGAAAAACTGACTGCAATCCTAGTTAAATTATTCCATTAGTAAAGATGTCATATACGTATCTTCTGCCAGGGCATCCTCCAGATTTGAAATCAAGGGTTACCACCACAGGCGAGCAGAGCATTCTGAAAACCATCTCGTAGTGTTTTATATCACATGTGTAACTGTAGCTGCCACATTTCAGTGCCTGGGTAAAGGTAACTCGTATTTTTTTTGGAAATTCTGGGTACTAACATTGTAGAAATCAATAACTATGAAAACTTTAAAAGTCTTTTATTTAACTCTTGTTTAGGAACCATTTCAAGAGTTGGTCTTTAAATCTAAAATACACATAATTGCTTTTTAAAGATCTGTTTCAATCTAACCAATCTAAGTTAAGGCATGTAAGCATGAAAAAAATTTGATTAGTTTCAAAATAGCCAAAAGCATTTGCAAAAGCATTCTACATACAGTAAAGGTCACCTATCCTGCAATTTAAAAATAAAGTTCTTGCTAAACTGTAGGACTGTAAAGTCCTGTGTAGTCAACATCTAGTCACTTATTTATTGCCTTCATATTTTAAAACTAGTCACTTGGTTTTTTTCACATTTTTGGGAGGAGGAGGGGGAACAAATCATTGCCTGACTCAAGATTCATAAGGGCAGCACCATATTTTTATGATTGAACTATAAACTACGGAACCGGGGTTGGTAATGGAAACGCTGACAGGCCTGTAACTACAGCAATACAAATGGCACTCCTGGAACTGAGAGGACCACGTATCTTCCCATGATTCCAAAGCTGTGGAATCCTCTGTGGGCCACAGGAACAAAAACTAACTGAAACAAAAAAAACCCCTAAAAACCCAACCCAAACCAACAACAACAACAAAAATCCCCAAAAAGAAACTCAGAAAAACAGACTAACATCATTTAAGGCAGTAGAGTTCCTGTTGCCCTGGAGTGCGCTATCAAGGTTTCCTGTGGTGTGCCACATCCCAGCACAGAGAAGAGGTGGTTGCAGGGGCAAAGGCCTGAATGCTGCGTTTCAAACATCAGGCAGGAAAAAGCAGGTAGCCCAGAAGGCAGACAAATAGTACGTGATCCCAGCACTTCTCCTCTTCCCATCTGTCCCTGTGACAGGCCCATGGATCCAGGGCTGAGGCAGTTGTTGTTATTTCGGGTTTTGAACAGCATTTCCTCTGTTCCTGCTCTTGCTGTAATGACCGCGGCCGTCCCTTCGTACATGGGGACTGGACACGTGCCATCACACAGTCACTTCCCTGCCACTGACCAGTTTTCAGCTGTGCGTGGTATCGCTCTGTCAAGCAATAACAAAACCTGAAACTTCTTACTGAAATTATAGAAAACTCGATTTGAGGCCTCCCCCGCCTCTTCCCAGTCTGCTCTTTTATGTTAATTCCTGCTTTAACACAACCGGCGGTCTCAAGACTTTTCATACATTTGAGTAAACATTATGTACCCTACAACTGTGACAGTACCACCGAAAACTTACCGGCTACATGGGTTTCCTTTTAATTTACATTAGAGTTACTTAATAGAGAGATACCTTGGAAGAAGATTTCACATGTATCAATGGATCCACTTTAAATAGAGCTGATGATACTAACAGGACTCATTACGTGTTTTCTTTGAAACGTGTTGTTGCTGGGGGAAAGGCCATTTTACAAAAAACAGTGCTTATATTTCAAAGGTTTTCTTAAAAAGTATAAATTCTACTGTGACAAATAAAAACTGAGGGGAAAAAATCAGAAAAGATCAACAACAGAAATTATATTAAGACATTTGACAAGTTCATGTGTATGACAGATGGAAATGGACTACACCACATGAACCGTTGCACATACATATAATACACATGAGATACATCTGAGTATTTAAAAAAATAATTAGGATAAACAGGGCTTCTATTATAACTTAAATAACAATGCAATAAACTATAATTATTAATTAGAGAGAAAACAGAATATAGGTGAAGCATGCAATGCAATTTTCCACAGTTGTATATGAGTATGATTGGATTGGTAATACATATCAGTAGCAACTGGAAAAACCGTCATGGCTCTTTGTAGGAACCACAGACAAAATAGTTAAGATCCATTTCTGGTATTTGCTAATACGGTATCATTAATCAAAATAACGTCACTGAGTATTCCAGCATTTTACCAGCTCCTAAAAATGACAAAGGTGGATTCAGTCTATACACTTACATTTCTGTGGTTTTAACTTCTTACACTGTTATTTTAAATAAATGTGAAGTCTCAGTTCAACAGAATCTTAATTTAGAGTAAGCTGCACAACTCACTTCCATGACTAGGACTAGGTACTACTAGCAGTAGGTACTACTTTGATCTGTGAACTTGAAGACATGTTCCCTAGGAGAGCAAAAAGTAGATTATGTTTTGCAGACAAAAAGGCAGTAGTAAAAAAAATCTTTTGAAGCAGAATCCTTTTAAAATCTGGATAACAGTATTCCTAGGTTTCAAACTGAGAAATATTTAGCATGGAAGCTGCTTTACTGAAATGACATGTTTTAATGGTTTCTGACATATACTAATAGCACAAATTAAATCTACATACTCAATGACCAGACAAATCTAATGGCTGTTACCACAGGGCACCTTCAAACTGGCAGTTCGTTCACGTTTGACGGGAGTCTTAATGAGTAGAGCAGTAATACTTTAAAATCTTGGCAGACGGGGCGCTTGTCTAAGTGTTAGAAGTCTAACTCTGTCTCGGTTAACTGCACTGCGGAAGGGTTCAAGGACAGAGGAGAATGAGGGATTAAATATTAGGAGTGATTAAATCTGTAATGGAAATACAACAGTATATATGGGGTTAGAATGTGACTGTAATATCCTGTCTGAAAAATCGTCACTTTTTAATAACATGTCTATCTTCGAATAACTGTATGTTAGTATTTTTCATTCAAGAGCTGATTTACATGCCACTTAACTCTTTACTATCACTTTTTTTTTTTTTTACATAACTACCATTTATTTTACTATTTTCAAGGCAATCCAGTTGAAAACGGTTCTTTTCATGGTCTTGTATGAATGTCACTAAAATTGATTCTGTAACAGGCCTAATATGGTTTTTTAGATGAACATATTTGAAGTTAATTGGTCTACTCCTCAGAGGAACAATGTTTCTAAAATGAGTGGATTTGCTTTTTCAGCCATGTACTTGCAATGGGAATCCAGCAGCTGGCAAGCTGGCTCAAACCTGAGCT